ATTTACATATTACGAAAGTCAATTCTAAGGGGTAGAGAGTTTGGAATTTCAACACAATATATTTTTAAAGTGGTGGATCGGAGTGGGGTCTCAAATGACAAAAATCTGGTTTATGTAATGTGAGAATGTGTGAACTATCCCCTTAAATTTCTGACGCAAATTTTGCACTTGTAATTGGAATATTAATTATTAAATAAGTGTCTAATTAATATTCTCCTTCAAAATGTATCATTCCGCAAAAGTTTATCAGCGTCCTATTTCGTTTCTAAAAACAATTTGACAATTCACACTGACAAGCAGTTTTTCCTTTCAGGACTATCAAAGAAAAACAAAAAAAGGAGAAACAAAAACAGATATGATGTAAGAAATTTTAAGATAAATAATCCTTCAATATTACAGTGTACTATATATTAGCTGGTTTATTCACTTTGCCTCAATGAACCATTATAAATCAAAATGTTAAAGACATCACTTTTCAAATCAAAACATCCGCAAACAAATTTAGTCCAGTTTGTAATCGTTATACGAACATCATGATCTCTTCATGGAAATTAATTAAACTTCAATTAATAAAAGAATAAATAAGCTGTGATCTCCACAGAATCTGACAACCTGCTCAGGACATCAACTACGGGGCATGACCTGCGAGTGTTTAGCTTCCAACTATAATATGAGGGGGTGTCCTGATGATTTAAAAAAAGGTAATATACTTTTTGTACATAAAATGGTAAACTTGTAACCTTGTAACTCGGTAACCTGGTAACCTGGTAACCTGGTAACCTGGTAACCTGGTAACCTGGTAACCTGGTAACCTGGTAACCTGGTAACCTGGTAACCTGGTAACCTGGTAACCTGGTAACCTGGTAACCTGGTAACCTGGTAACCTGGTAACCTGGTAACCTGGTAACCTGGTAACCTGGTAACCTGGTAACCTGGTAACCTGGTAACCTGGTAACCTGGTAACATGGTAACCTGGTAACCTGGTAACCTGGTAACCTGGTAACCTTTAACCTCATAGTATTGAATCCTACCTCTCCCGCCTAGGTTCCAAACAGTGCATCCACTATGAAACCTACTGCAAAAGCTCTAAACTATCAGCAGCAAAACAGGGTAAAATGTGTTGTCAAGCTATCCTTTGCAATATCAACCTTAAAAACTGTTGATTTGACGAGTTGGGAATATAAACGGTAGTGGAAGTACTGTGGAAGTACTACCAATACCATAACTTCATAATGTAGCAATGTTGAGTTAATTACTGATTACGTAATTTATAGACAATAATTTTGAGCCGCTTTGGAATTTCTTGGAAGAAAAATTACATAATCGAGATCCTGATCAATGATGATTTATTCACAATAACATTTTGAAGATTTCATAAACGTGCGATTTTATAAAAGTGTTCAATTAACAAATATATACTTTGTAAATGTAATATTAGAAATATAAGTGTTTGAAATGTTGTTTATCTAATGTATGTGAAAAAGTTTACACCGTGTTGACGTATTGCAGAAAGATTGTATATTGCAACAAACATAACGCAGACACACGTTAAAATTGTATTTTAACTTATCCCGCGACGCGCAGGACACTGATAAGTAGATAACAATCCAAATAAATAAAAGTGGTAAACTTGTATCAATTAGACGACTACGACCCCGCATTAACAGCAAGTTTTTTGACCTGGTAACCTGGTAACATGGTTACCTGGTAACCTGGTAACCTGGTAACCTGGTAACTATCAGACGTCTAGGACCCCGCATTTACAGCAAGTTTGTGTCGTGGAACTGTTTTCGTTTTGACACTGTTTACAGGTCCAAGAGTAGGATGGTGGCCCTGAAACAAATGTTTGTGTATAATTAATAATCAGTTATTAGAATATATATTCACGTGATATCATTATCAGTGCAGTGTGTACAACACCAACTACACCGATCAATTGCCAATCTGCGAAACATTTAATTATTATTATCACTTCGAGATGGCAGGGCCTACTCTCATGCTGTCTATAGGTGATGATTGATTCTGAAAAACTAGGGACAACTGGGGAATGATCCTAGAACCTCGACATATCGCGTGTCTTGCTCTACCTATTGAGCTACTGACCCTGATTCTCAGAGCGAAATCATCTGGGATCATTCCCCAGTTGTCCCTAGTTTTTCAGAATTAATCATCACCTATAGACAGCATGAGAGTAGGCCCTGCCATCTCGAAGTGATATAATTAATTACCCGTTCATATAATATAGTGTCCGTGCCGTATACACAGGCTAACTGGTACACATACTTTAATTCGACAGGCACTCAAGTTGAAGTTCGATGCACGTACTGTAGTTCGACAAACCTAAAGTTCGACTTTGTCGAACTAAAGTGCGCTACCTGGACCTAAGTTCGACACGTACTAAAGTTCGGCAAGAGAACTTCGACTGGATGAGAAGGACATTCTTAAAGATAATATTTTTAATTCAGAATATCTTTTCAATTTGGATTTTTATCGAATAATTTTGAGTCTCATATGAAATTTGATAAAGTTCCGTGAGCCAGAAGTAACGGTAATATTTGAGGACATGCACGTTCTCATGAGTTCTATAAACTCAAAAATTCGAACATTTTCAGGACCCCCGACTGGAGACCCCTGCGGTTTGCTTTCCACTTATCTCATGCTGTTTAACTAATATGCAATAATGTGTGTAATGTGCACATTGTCATTATGTAATTTTATTGGGAGCTTTTTGAGACAATTGATAATGATAACTTCTTTACAATCTGGTGCTAAGCTGACCTCAGACTCAATTGTTAGTTAGCACAATTGTAGACTAAACGGTGCCCCAGGTAACTCGTACTCCGTTTTATAGATCGATATTGTAGATTAAGTTTGTAAGGTAGGAGAATTACAATTAATATTATTGATTATACTGAATGGTTCTGAAATTTGCAACTGCTGGTTGCTTGATATCAGAAAATAGTTTATAAGATTACCTAAACTTAATTTCTGATCTCGTGCACCTGTTATTGAACCATGTGATCCTATGATAAGGACCTGCAATAGCCCATGGATCACAAGCAGGAACTATTTGTCGAACTAGAGTACGCTACATGGACTTTAATTCGACACGTACCGGAGTTCGAGAGTTGTCGAACCAAGCTATGCTTGGTGTAGCTCGTTAGAATAGTATAGGAATTCTAATTCCTATAAGTTGGGAATAAGGTAATTATCTGTTCACAGATAAACCTCTAAACCTACAAGGAAATATTTCCTATAGATTCTCGGTATATAAGCAACATTTGATAGAGCATCTTGTGGTGTGAGCTATATGTGGTCAGCCTTGGCGACTCGGTGGATGTCCTTGCTGTACGGCGGCGTTAAACAAGGAACTGAAACCGAGGGGTTACGTTCAGGCCTAGTTTCTGTCTGGTTCTAATATACCTTTATAATAATGACTTTAATATACAATGAGAGAATGGGATACGCAAGCGACCGATTTCATTCTTGGTATCATTTCGTTCTCGGTATCATTTCATTCTCGGTATCATTTCATTCTCGGTATCATTTCATTCTCGGTATCATTTCATTCTCGGTATCATTTCATTCTCGGTATCATTTCATTCTCGGTATCATTTCATTCTCGGTATCACTTCATTCTCGGTATCATTTTATTCTCGGTATCATTTCATTCTCGGTATCATTTCATTCTCGGTATCACTTCATTCTCGGTATCATTTCATTCTCGGTATCATTTTTCATTTGCGGATGGTCATTCAAATACTATTTACTTTTTTAATGTGGGCTGTCGTACATACATACAGACGTACAGGTTGGTTTCTGGTTTGAGCAGCATTTCATTTATCATATTATCATGCTCTATTTGACCTCCAATAATGGTAGTTATGATGTCAATTGTCAGTGTGTGGTTAGCAAAATGTTTCACCTCCTCCAGTAAAATCTTTAACGGTGAGAATCAGCAACTTCCATCAAAACCACACATTATAAGTTTATACGACCAATTTAGCCCTGACTCCTCGGGCGGATATGATATGGGCGGATATGGGTGGAAATGCTGCTGTGAGATTCGTTTAAGCTCTTTAAACTTTTAAAGCCTGCGAATCAATAAAACTTGAGTACGAGTGCCTACAAAGCAGATAAGTGTTCACCAATCTGGTAACCTGGCAACCTAGCGAACCAGACAAGTTTCCACCGATTAATAGTTAGTGCTCACATACACGGTCAGATCGCTTCCTCTTAACCTGAAATAAGTGAAATAAGTGGATTTGTTTTGACTAGTTTGGGCTTGTTGCGGTTTCCTTTTCCAGTTGCTGACTAGTTGCTTTTGCAGTTATAGCATTATATTATTGTTTTTACAAGATCTGTGGTCTAATAATTATGAAATTAGTCTGTACGTGACCACTAATTAGAGCAAATAATAACATATATAGAGGGATAGATCAGGGATAGAGGACACGTGACTAGTAGAAACTGTAGTAATGTGTATGTGAGCACTTAACAGTCCGTATCAGCAGACACGGAGAGCACTTAACAGAGTGATAACAACGTGAAGGCACTCCTCGAGCTCTTCGGTTGGTCAAAGTAACCGATTTACGTGACGCCGGGGTTTTCATTGGCCAAGTCTCAGGTTTGTATACATTATACAACTCCTTTAAATACCGAGCACCGAGGACTTTACTTTTCAGTTGTTATGATCCAGTAGTTCCGCTGAACAGATAAATATTTCACCTTCTTCAGAGGAGATTATCGCTGTGTAATTGTTGGGTTAATCATGAGGATTGCCAACTTCTTCTGGTGAGTGATGGGTTGCTACTTAATTGCTTAAAGTTTAATTAGATTAATATTGTTAAATGTCCATAACTATCATCGACTGTACAGTGTACTGATATACAAATTATAGATTATTTTATTTTCAGGATTGTGCTGCTATTTCAGCTGTTCACCGTCTCCTATCAAATTTGTAAGTACAGGGTGGCCCATAAGTGACTACCCACACGCAACCTCTTAATAACTCACGTAATTCGTCTCCAAATTGCACCAAAATTTCAGAGATTATAGATATGGGTCAAACTTAGATTTCCTGAAAGTTTCGTAAGCCACGCCCAATTACAGTGGGCGTGGCGTGACACTCCCTCTTTTTCACTATTGTCTTCATAAAATGAGAACGCTTTAAGCTAAGAACTCAAAAATTTTTGCACACATTTGGCTTGATAATTGAAAACCTTTCCCAAAGTTTCAAGTTCATTGGTTAAAATATGGCTAAGTTATGACCATTTCAAAACTCATCGGATACGTGATCCGAGCACTCAGTCAGTGATCTCGTCACTTGGTTAATGGCATGTTTGGCTCACATGCACCGCTTGATTGGTTGCAGCCTGCTTATGGGCCGGCCTATACAGCTGACTGCACCTAAAACGCTATCACACGAATTTATGGTGGTGTCACCATTTCAGGGCTTGTTAGCCCTGCTAGTCACAGGTTCCTTACAATCAATAAAAAGGAATGAACCATCCATTGAATCATCGAACCGGGCCTACCGAATCACAAAGAAACACAAACTTTTGGACCGTGATTTCCAATCGAGGATAGATTTCGCCAACACATTCCTGTCCAAGCAGAATGTGGATCCCTACTTTGAGGACGAAATCTGGTACAGCGACAAGGCCATATAAACGGATTATATGTCAACTCCCAGAATGCAATTCACTGGGGCTTTACTAGACCGGATGAAGTGGTGGAGAGAACGGCTTTTCCTGAAAAGTCACGATCTGGTTTTTATCCTAAAAATTTGTGTTTCCCTTTCTAGCAAAGTCATCATCGGTATCCAATCAAAGCCTAATGAACCTCATTAATACACGCTAACGCCTTACTCTTGATCAGATTGGGTGACGAGATCACTAATTGAGTGCAAATATCACTGACTGAGTGCTCGGATCACGTATCCGATGAGTTTTGAAATGGTCATAACTTAGCCATATTTTAACCAATGAACTTGAAACTTTGGGAAAGGTTTTCAATTATCAAGCCAAATGTGTGCAAAAATTTTTGAGTTCTTAGCTTAAAGCGTTCTCATTTTATGTATTATCCAATAATTGCGTTAATAGGCTTATCTGTTGTTCCTTAGGCCAAATAAATACCAAACAAAGTTTGAAGCTTCAACTCCAACCGGAACCACCCCAACATGCCACGCCCATTTTTTTCATCAATTTTTTCACATCTATAAACTAATAACATTATCGCATTATCGGTCCTAATTTGTGAAATTTTCAACTAGCCCGACCATTAAGGTTAGACATTAGGGTAGACATTAGGGTTAGACATTATGGTAGACATTAGGGTAGACATTAAGGGTAGACATTAGGATTTAGGCTAGACATTAGGTTAAACATTAGGTTAGACATTAGGGTAGACATTAAGGTAGACATTAATGGTAGATA